TCAGCCCATTTCTTCATTGCTGCCTATCCCCTTCTTCGACTCACCAGTAGGCCAATGTGGTAACCAGCAAGGTTACACGCCTGCTTATGTATTCCCTTTGAGTTTCAGTCTTTAGGGGAGAGTTTGTCCTGAAGGAACTTGATTGCTTGCCTTGATGGCCTCCTGGAGAACAGCTTGTAGCAACTAATTATGCTGACATTTTTGATTTGGGTTTTCTCTGATGATCTTTCTTTGAAGATGTATCTTCTTTTGCTGTAGCTGTTCCAGACTGGTCTGCTTATCCTTGCTAGTGGGAATGTCCCACCTCAGAATGTTCTGGATGGGACTCAGGATTCCTCCTAAGGTCCTATACTCTGTAAAGGCTTTGCAAGAGACCTATTTCACCAGGCAAATTCTAGAACCCATTTTAGGTATTCCAATCAGTTATAAGCTGAAGATGGGCTTACAAGTTTTCTGTAATCAACATTCCTTTCTATCCCACTCAAGTGTCTATTTTACAGGAGTAGGCAAGGCAAACCAATATTCATAAGACAGTCAAGCATTTGAATATTATTTCTTCTCTTCAAACTATGCCTAGATCCCTGTATCCCAGAGCCCTGTTGTTCCAGTGTTGAGCATGCATCACTATTTACCTGTGTCCCACTTTTTTAGGCCATGCAAACCTGTCTCCATGTTTCCCAATCTGTCTTGTTCTTCCACCTTCTTCTCCTTCTTGTATTGCCCTCCCCAACACCCGAACTAAACCCCCGACCCCAACCTCACTGTTGTGTTTACCTTCTATTCCATTAACTCTTCCCTCCATTTAAGATTGTCTATTTTATCCTGTAATCTACCTGATCTTCTCACCACCTATATCTCTGTTCCTCTGTGTTTACTTTCTTTCACATTGTAATTGTATTGATTATAGACTGACCTCCAAGATCCTCTGTTCTTATCATTTTATTCTGTTCTTGACTCTTCCATTTGTCGATTGAGTTCAGGGTGATGTTCCCATGTATGTCATTCTCTGGTTGTTTTCTGTTCTTGTTGGTTCTCAGCCCACAGAACTTCCTTTAGGATGTTTTACAGCACAGGGTTGGCTTTGGCATAATCCCTTAGCTTCTGTTTATCCTAGAATGTTTTGATTACATCATCATATTTGATTGACAGCTTTACTGTGTAGAGGATTCTTGGTTGGCATTTTTTTTTTTCTTTCAGGGTTTTATATATGTCTCCCCATTGCCTTCTTGCCTGTATTGTTTCTGTTGAGAGAACGGAGCTTAATCTGATTTGCTTGCCTTTGTATGTTACCCTTCTCTTTTCCCTAGCTGCTTTTAGGATTCTGTCCATATTTTTTATTTTGGAGAGCTTGATTATTATATGTCTTGGTGATTTTCCTTTAGGGTATCCTTCCTGGGGTTCATTGAGCTTCTTGAATGCTTATCTTTTTGTTTTTCAGTATGTTAGGGAAATGTTCTTCCAGAAGCTCTTCAACTATCTCCTCTGTGGACTTGTATGATTCTTCCTGTTCCGGAATGCAGATAATTCTTAACTTATTCCTCTTCATGTTGTCCAACATGAATCTTAAGCCTTCTTCAGAATTTTGTATCCTTTTTCTGTGCTTGCTTTTCTATCTTAATAGTGTTGAGAGATTTATCTTCTAGCTCACTTAGTTCTGACTTCTATCTCATCAGTTCTACTCCTTTGCCCTTTCAATGTATTGTCCATTTCTGATATTCTATTATGAATTGTTTGGACCTCTTTTTGTAGGTTTTGTATTGTTTCCAATGCTGTATCTATCTTATTTGATTGTTCCTTTAGCGCTTTCCTGACTTCATTTTTCTCAACTCCATTGTATAGTGTTTTGCTGTAGTTTATAATCATTTTTCTGAATTCCTTCTCAGGCATTTCCAAAGCCTGCCCACCTTCCAGTATGGAGTGTAGGTATACTTCCAGCTCATTTACCTTAGTCACTTTATCTTGTTTCTATACATGAGCTGATATGGTCATTTGTTTCTGTTTTTTCGGCATATTTAGGAGTTATCTGTGGCCTAAGTTCTTAGATGGGTGTGTATTTTGGTATTTTTTATGCTTTCTGATTGCCTCCAAGTAGATGTGATTAGGAGATGGGCTTCCCATTTCATTCTTCTTCCTGAGAAATTTCAAGATGCCACTGATGGTCGTTGTGACGTAACTCACGATTTAAATTTTCAGCCTATTTCCTTTTTTGTCTGCATATCCTGCTTCACAATCCCCATTCAGGCCTTTTTCTTAGTGATAAATAGTTCAGGTCCTCCTGTGGCCGTTTTCCACTGCCGTTTGTTTTTAAGTTGAACCTGTCACTTTAAATTTCAAGGAGATCTATGTACATTTTTTGTAGAACCCTCCTGAGGAGTGGGCGGGTGTCCACTCGCTCAGGCACCCCCTCTAGTCACCAGAATGGAGGTGCGCAGACAGCAGGAGACCTATGAACAGATACCAAAAAAAGAATGCCCACACCTTTATTTCTGCCTTCTGTCAAGTGTCCGTGACCCCTGAAACTTCCTCCACTTGTTTCACCCAAGATGGCAATTCCAGATACATTTGAGTGTCTTGAATTAAGATACCAGTGGATTTCCTGCTTCCGCTACAAATTCCCCTAGCTGTAAGCCTTCCAAACTTCTAAATATTCCTTTATATGTGGTTCAGAGTTCTGGCACCATCCCCTGAGCCTGCTTGGTCCAGCATTCTGTGTTGTTGCTGATGGAGCTCCTCACTGCAGTTCTATCTGATCCGCCATCTTTTTGGTCTCCCTCGGTTGAACTGTTTACAGTTTCCAATTTTACTAGATTCATACTTTGTACATTCCATGATCTGATTATTAATGGATGTTTACGGCTGTTTTTCTTCATTTTGACTTGTGCCCCATCATCAAATGAAGTCCTAAAAGCTTTATTCCATTTGTGTCATCATGGTCAACTCTACTTTGTGAAGGCAGATCTTCCCTAGTCGCATTTTGAGTGCCTTCCCACTTGAGGGGCTCATTTTCTGCCTCTATAGCTGACAATGTCCTGGTGGTCTTCATCATGTTTCAGTATTCAGTAATTTGGTAATGACAGTGTTCCAGTGTCATTCATAAGGTTTTAGTTGACTACATATTCAGAAGTAGTTCATCTCTTCTTCTTCCTAGTCTGTATGTGTTTGGAAACTCATTTGAAATTTGTCCACTGTGAGTGACCGTGCTAGTATTTAAAATACCTGTGGCATAGCTTCCAGAATCACAGCAACACACAAGCCACCACAGTATGACAAATTGACAGATGTGTGGTAGAAAGAATAATATAAAGAGATAAAAATCAGTCCTCTGGAAGCCCATATAATGGGAAAAATGTGCTATTAAGTTATGATTCATGGTTACCCTATGTGTGCAGAGTAGAACTGCTCCAAAGGGTTTTTAAGACTGTGATTTTTCAGAAACAGATCACTAGGCCTGTTTTCTGAGTAAGTTTAAAGTTCTAACCTTTCAACTAGTAGTCTAGCCACCCAGAGATCTGTGGACAAGCCATCCCCCTCCACCTCACACACAAACTCATTGATTTAATTCTGACTCATAGCATCCCTACAGGACAGAGTAGACCGCTCCATAGGGTTTCCAAGGCGGTAGATCTTTACAGAAGCAGGTTGCCTTATCATTCTCCCACATAGTAGCTGGTGGACTTGAGTCATCAGCCTCTCAGTTAGCAGCCCAACACTTAACCTACTGTATTTCCTGGGGTCTTCTTGAGCAAAATGCCATTGGTGTTAAGTGCTCTAGAGTTGGTTCCAACTCATAGTGATCCTGTATAGGGTTTCCGAGGAGCAGCTCGTGGGCTTGAACTACCGACCTTGTGGTTAGCAGTCCAGTGCTTATCCTGTTGCACCACACCTGGACTCTCCTGATCTAAATAGAGGACTTTAAACAACAATATTAAATATTCTTAAAGGACTGAAAGAAGACAGTGAATGAACTAAAGGAAATTAGGAAACAAAATGAAAGTTTCAATAAGGAAATAGAAAATATAAAAAAGAACATGATTGGAACCTAAGAATATAATGGCGAGATTCAGTAATAACTTTGAGCTAGCAGAAGAAAGAACACAAGTGAAATAGAAGATGGAAAAATAGAGGATAAGAAAGAAACAGAAAAAAAAATAAAGAGAAATGAGCAAAGTTAAGTGGAATTGTGGGACATCATGAAGAGAACCAACAATTGCATTTTGGGAAATTCAGAAGGAGAAGAAATAAAACAAGAGTAGTCAAAGAAATAATGGCTCAGGCTTCACTTACAACCTATTGTGATAAGAATTTCCCAGGTTAGAGTCAGGACATTTAGTCTTTAAAAGCTTCACAGCTAATACATACTCTCTTCCTTTTTATATAAATAGCATTTTTCTTCTTTAATCCCTGCACATCCTCATGTCAAGTAATGTTTAAAGCAAGGTGTATGTATTCAATATCAGATTTTTATGTCTTAAATAAAGGCTTCTAACCTCTCTATGTTGGTTAGAATAAGTATTGAACTGTAAACCACAAGGTCAGCTATTCGGACCTGCCAGTTGTCTGTGGGAGGCAGGTGAGGCTTTCATCTCCCCAAAAAGATGTACAGCTTTGGAACCCTTATACAGTGTCTCTGTGAGTTGGAACTGACTTGACAGCACTTAACAACAACAAAAGCAACAGCTTCTCTATTTAAAATAGGGCACATAAAGTACAGATGAAGTGAGAAAATTTGGTGAATGATATTGTTGCCTTGGCTCTGATTCTATGGAAAGAGTTTTGTTAACTTTGGCCTGAAATTCATAGCATACATTGGTAATCAATCTTAGAAATGAATACTTTCTTAGCGTACTTGCAGTGACCTTTGTACATATTTACCATTATATTTTTATGTGTTAAGCCTGGTCAATAGAATAAAAATAAATTTGTGGGCTTTTATATTTTAAAATATGTCATGTTATAGTGGTTAGTATTTAGTTTTAAGACATTAATCTTTTGTTTCTCAGAGCATCATTCGTTGTGATGAAGATGAGTCTCATGTTGCATCTGTATATTGCACTGTATGTGCAACTCACCTGTGCTCAGAGTGTTCTCAAGTTACTCACTCCACAAAGACATTAGCAAAGCACAAGCGTGTGCCTCTAGCTGATAAACCTCATGAGAAAACCATATGCTCTCAGCACCAGGTGCATGCCATTGAGTTTGTTTGTTTGGAAGAAGCTTGTCAAGCTAGCCCACTTATGTGCTGTGTCTGCAAAGAATATGGAAAACACCAAGGTCACAAGGTATGATTTTAATCAAATTAAATGACTCTAGCTGTTTTACTACCACAATTTGTTTTCACTGCCCTCATTTTTTATGCTAAAAGTAGAGACTGAAAAAGATTCAAATGATGAACAAATTGGGATTGTTAGCATGAAAAGAATGAAAAATTTAATTTCTGAATGTCACAACAAAAATTTTGAAAGTTCTTAACTATTGTTTCTTTACTGAAAAATAGCTTTCTAGCAGGAACGAGAGTCTTTGTGTGCATGACTTAATATACTGTGATGTCTATTGAACTTTTACTTACATAGTTTTAGAAACAGTGTCTTGGTTTCTTTTCTAGTGATAAATGGACTTCCAAATGTAAAATTATTTCTTGTTTTCTTATAAAAGTTTTAAGAGGAATTTGTATTTATTAACTTGTTATACAGCAGTGCAGCAGTTCTGTATGATACGCTAGCACTGTACTGCGAACCACAAGCCAACGTTTGTGGTTCAAGCCTACCGGCTGCTCTGTGGTAGAAAGATGAAACTTTCTGCTTCTACAAAGATGTACAGCCTCAAAAACCCTATACAGGGTTGCTATGAGTTGAAACCAACTCGGCACTTAGTAACAACAACCTGGTTAGCTGCTTGTTTGTTTTTTTCTAAATGTAGTATAAAAGCTACTGGTGGCTGATGCTTTTTTTATAGGAAGAATTTGAATAGTTTAATAAATATATTATTAGTCAATATTATATCTTTTCTATAATTACCTTGTATTTTATAGCATTCAGTATTGGAACCAGAGGCTAATCAGATCCGAGCATCAATTTTAGATATGGCTCACTGCATACGGACCTTTACAGAAGAAATCTCAGATTATTCAAGAAAACTAGTTGGAATTGTTCAGCACATTGAAGGAGGAGAGCAGATAGTAGAAGATGGAATTGGAATGGCCCACACAGAACATGTATAGATTTTTTTTTTTCTTCCTTTTTACCTCCTTTTTTTTTTTTCCTTCTTAACCCTTTGTCCTTCTAAGAAATATTTATTGAACAATTACATTGTGTCAATACTGCATTAGTTACTGGAAGTAAATTTTTAAAAAATATCTGTGGATTCATAGAACTTAAACCTCATCATGGAAGAGAGACAGTTTTTGTTTTGTCGGGGGAGGAAGTACAGAGTACCTTGGCAATGTATAAGTGGAACAACAATATAAGTGAGTTAAGGCATACTTCCTAATAGAACTGATGACCAAGACTTTTTAAAAAATGAATTAAATGTATATGCAAACAAGCGTTTGCCATTTCAACATCCCATACATGTACAGTTAAGTGACATTAATTATGTTCCTCATGTACAACTCTCACCATTAGCTGTTTCCAAATGTTTTATCACTCTAAACAAAATGTTCAGTGTCTCCTAAGCTATGAGTCCCTCTTTCTATCTTTCAACCCTGCAACCACTAATAAACGTAGGTCTCTTTACTGTTTCACCTGTGGGGTTGCCATGAGTCAGAATTGACTTGATGGCAATACCTTGGTTCATCCATGCTGTGGTATAAGTCAGTACTTCCGTTTCTCTTTATGGATGAGTCATGTTTCATTGTATTTATTTATACACATATGCTCTTTCATTCATCTGTTAAGCATAGGTTGTTTCCATTTTTTTATTATTGTGAGTAGTACTTCAGTGAACACTGACGTACACGTATTCCTCTGTTTCTGCCTTTAGTTGTTTGGGTTGTTGTTTTTAAGTGCTGTTGAACCAGTACCGACTCATAGTGACCTTGTATAGGGTTTCTGAGAGCAGCTGGTGGGTTTTAATTGCTGACCTTGTGGTTTGCAGTCCGGTGTTGATCCTACAGTGCCTCATGAACACCAGTGTACATATGTATTCCTGTGTTTCAGCTTTCAGTTGTTTGGGTTGTTGTTAAGTGCTAATGAGTCAGTTCTGACTCATAGTAACTCTGTATAGGGTTTCCGAGGAGCAAATGGTGAGTTTGAACCACCAACTCTAATGGTTCAAACCAACTTTAGGGTCCAGTGCTTATCCTACAGCGCCACACCAGGACTCCAGAATTACCTTACAACCCAGGGATTCTGTTTTAAGTTGTTTTGAATATATACAAACAACTTAAAACAAAATTAAAAGTACAATTCCTACTTTCTACCTCCCAGTTGGGTGGATTGTATCATGCATTGATAGAGAAGAAGGAGTTTGGGGAGGGAATGATGGAAGTAAGATGATGAGTTTGATTTGGAAATTAAATGTCTTTTTATTGTGGGATGATCAAGTGAATTGATAAGTGAATATATCTAACATTTAAGAGGATTCACTTTGAGGGGAAGAAGGATCTAGGTGAATAACTTTAGTTACTTTTAAAAATGTGGAGAAGAAAGGATTCTCTTCAAATAGGAATATAAAATACAGGGACAGCCAAAATATATTTTCTCTGATAATTGAGCATATTTAAAGCTAAGTCATTGAAGAATAATGCTGGAACATCTCTGTCCAGTATTTTAAGTTAGATATAAATTAAAATCCAAAATTTAGATATTTCAATTATTCCCTCAGTAAATATTTATTAAACATACACCAAGTGTTTGACAGGGTCACAGAGGCTGGAGAGGCGCCATCGTATAAGCTAGACAATGTTCCTTGCCTTTGAGGAGTTTACATTCTAATCTGGGGAAAGAGACAATAAATTAGAAAAATAAACACCATATATAACAAACAGAGAAAAGAGTAAGCACAAAAACTCTGATGTTGGGTTGTGTCTTGTGTGCTCAAGAAACTGTGGGGAGGCTAAGTGTAGCTGGAGCAGAGTGATTGAGAGGAGGGCAGGGTAGCAGAAATTGAGACCAGAAAGAGCCTTTTAGTCATCTGCTTCTCTTTAAGAAGCTCTGGTAGTGTATAGTGGGTTACAAGTTGGGCTGATAACCACAAGGTCAGTAGTTCAAATCTTCCAGCTGCTTGGTAGGAGAGGGTTAGGCTTTCTGCTCCCGTAAAGCTTTACAGCCGTGGGAACACTATACATCTTTAGGACTTGGATCTGACTTCATAGCACATAACCACCACCACCATTCCTCTCTGTCTAGAATTCTCTTCCAGATACTCACATGGTTCCCTCTTTTAAAAACCACCTCTAGGTCTGTGCCCAAATGTTCTCTACTCAATGACTTTGGTGTTTACTTTGACTTGAATGGGAAGCTATTGGAGTCTTTTGAGTAAAATAATAGTACTATTTTTCTGACTTAACATTTTGAAAGAATCATTCAGGTTCAGTGTGGAGAATACCCTGTAAGGGCAAGGCATAGATCAAGCCTTGGAGACAACTTAAAAGACAACTATAATTATCAAGTGAAATATAGTGATACCTTTAATCAGGCTGTTAAAAGGGCAGGTGGTGAGGCATGATGAAATTCTGCAAATATTTTGAAGCCAACAGAATTTGCTGAGGAACTGACATGAAAGAGAGGCATTAAGGATTACAACAAATTTGCACTGCATAACCAGGAGACTAGAGTTGTCTCTGTTTACTGAGATGAAATAAACTTGAGCTTGTAGTTGGGGGAGATTAGAGATTAGGTATTTCACTTTGCTTGAGATCTCAGTTAAATAGTTGGACATGCAAGTATGACATTGAGAGGAGAGGTCTAGTGTGGATATATAAAATTTGGAGTTTATGAGAATATAAAAGTTATGTTGGTATTCAATATTTCACATGAATGATCTTTGTTAAGGTTATGATTATTTAACGCTTACTTTTATTTCTTTAGGTACCAGGAACTGCAGAGAATGCCCGGTCATGTGTCCGAGCTTATTTTTCTGATCTGCATGAAACTCTGTGTCGTCAAGAAGAAATGGCTCTAAGTGTTGTTGATGCCCATGTTCGAGAAAAACTTATTTGGCTCAGGCAGCAACAAGAAGATATGACTATTTTGTTGTCCCAAGTTTCAACAGCCTGTCTCCATTGTGAAAAGACTTTGCAACAGGTAGAGTTTAAACATAATTTAGACATGGTTTAGAAAAGAGGATTCAACTAGAAGAGAGATATATACTGGACTGTCTTATTAATTTCATGAATATATAGCATAACTACTACATGTGTGGCATAATGGGTTAATGCGCTGGACTGCGTGGTCGGTTTGAACAGCAAGGTTGGCTGTTCAAGCTCACCTGCTGCTCCTCGGAAACACTATACACGGTCACTATGAGTCGGAACTGACTCAACGGCACTTAACAACAACAACAACTGCATGCATTAGCTTTGTGTTTAGAACTTAGTCTCTGATCTCAAATTTGTTCACCAACCATATCAGTGTCCTTTCCTTCATGTACTCTCCCGACCCTAAAATCACGGATTCCAGAAGTCCTCTAACGTGTTTTTCTTCAGTCATGCCAAGTCCTTTTACTATTCTTTGTCAAATACGTGTATTCTTTCAGTTTAGAGTGATTGTATCACTCTTCTTTTTTTTTTTTAATCTATAGAGTTTATTTTAATCAACTTTTAGAAAAGACATGCATCATTCTTTGACCTAATCTCATTGATTTTCAATACACTTTGTCCATCTTTCAACAAGTTTTTGTATTCCCTTACAAAAAATGTTTTAGGCTGAGCTCTGAGCCACGAATGCACCACTGTCGTCACTTCTTCATCAGAGGTGAATCTTCGTCCTTGAAGGTCTGCTTTCAGGGGACCAAATAGGTAAAAGTCCAGTGAAGCAAGAACAGGGCTATAGGGAGGATACTTTATATAACATCTCAGAATGGAGTTTTTGCATTCTCCACAGTGTGGGCAGAGGTGTGGGGACATTGTCATGCAAGATCACAGTGCCCTAGGATAGCATTCCTCTGGTTTTAATTCTAAGTTTAGGCTTCAGCTCTTCATTGAGCATCTCACAGTAACATGCACTGTTGATTGTTGAAATTTTTTCCTTAATAGTGTTCCAATATTGGCCCTTGAGAATCCCAGAAAGCTGTAAGCATCCGTTTTCCAGTTGATGGTTGACTTTTAAAAAAAAAATTTTTTTCTGCTATAATCTTTCTCTTTAAGGTTTTTATTGTAGATTGAGTGAAAGTTTACAGGGCAGATCATCAGTTTTATAGTCAGCAAATCATGCACCTTGTTTCATTACAATGATTGTAATCCCCTCCATGTACCATCAGTTACCAGTATTTCTCTCTATTCACTTTAGCTTTTTTTAAAAACAAACAAACAAACAAAAAACACTCAGGCATATATAATAATTTACACTTCTAAAGGGCACATTCTGCAAGTCTGCCTCCTGGCCACCAGCTCTTAGTCCCTCTCTTCCCATGAATCTAGAGTCCTCAGTTGCTCCCCCTCTCCATGTCCCCATCTCTGCCAACATCTCTGGTGTCGCTGCTTCTCTGGAAAAGGTCCTGCATTCTACCTGTGCTCATCTCCCTTGATGGTCCTAGGGTCTTCTGTTTCTGGACTGTAAGATTAATTACGCCCCTGTTTTTGTTACAAAACTTTTACCTTTACAATTGTGACAGTCACAATTAGTCATGATAACAATTTTTCACTATTGAACCATATGAATCTTATCCCCATCTCTTCCCCAGACCCATCTAAACAAGCTAAAAACTATTCAGTGAGGACTCTTTCTCTCCCCCAACCCCCAACACTCTTAAAGTAAACTCCATCATGAAACCTTATAAGCCAGTCACTTCATGCCTTTATTGCCCCCTCATTTTAGGTGGCCAGTGTCTAAGTTGCTCATCCCTATCTACCCTGTGTACAGAGGGGATAGCATTGATACTTGATGTGAAGACTCCTTCACTCTCCGTTGGTACTAGAGTTACTAACTCCATGAGTATATGTCAGGCTCATCAAATTGTCGCAATTTACCCAATTTACTCGTATTTCCTTTATCAAAAGAAAAAGTGTTTTTTTGTGTGTAATATTCTTCTAGTTGAGTTCTGATTATCAAACCATCGAGGCTAGGTCAAAAGGTTACTGTCTGCAAGTTTGGGTGTTCTTGTACATCTCCCCTCACTTCACATCAGTTGGACGCCTCACTCTCAGCTCTAGCCCTCTGTGGCTATGTCCTTGTCCAAGGGCTCCAGTGACCCCAGGTGCACCACACTTTGGACCAACCAGCCCTTCCTCTTCTCTCTTTCATCTCCAGGTCAATGGGAGTCAATGGACTGTAGTTGAACTCAGCCCATTTCTTCATTGCTGCCTTTCCTCCTCTTCCATTCACCAGTAGACCAATGTGGTCACCAGCAAGCTTACATGCCTGCTCATGTGTTCCCTTTGAGTTTCAGTCTTTAGAGGAGAGTTTGTCCTGAAGGAACGTGATTGCTTGCCTTGATGGCTTCCTGGTGAACAGCTTGCTTATTCTTGTAGTAGGCAGTCATGCTGACATTTTTGTTTTGGGTTTTTTCTGATGATTGTTCTTTGAAGATGTATCTTCTGTTGCTCTAGCTGTTCCAGGCTGGTGTGCTTGTCCTTGCTAGTGGGAATGTCCCACCTCAGAAGGTTCTGGATGGGACTTGGGATTCCACCTAAGGTCATATATTCTGTAAAGACTTTGCAAGAGGCCTATTTCATCCAGCAAGTTCTAAACCCCTTTTAGGTATTCCAGTCAGCTATAGGCTGAAGACAGGCTTACAAGTTTTCTCTAATTATGTTTCCCAACATTCCTTTATATCCCACTCAAGTGTCTGTTTTACAGGAGTAGGCAAGGGAAACCAATATTCATATGACAGTCAAGCATTTAAGTATTATTTCCCCTCTTTAAACTATGCCTAGATCCCTGTATCCCAGAGCCCTGTTGTTCCAAGTTTGAGCATGCATCACTGTTTATCTGTGTTCCACTTAGGCCATGCAAACCTGTCTCAGTGTTCCCCTATCTATCTTCTTCCTCCACCTCCTCCCCCTTCTTGTATTGCCCTCCCCAACACCCAAACAGAACCACCCACCCCAACCCCACTTTTGTGTTTACCTTCTATTCCATTAACTCTTCCTTCCATTTAAGATAGTCTATTTTATACTGTAATCTATCTGATCTTCTTATCACCTGGATCTCTGTTCCTCAGTGTTTACCTTCTTTCACATTGTAATTGTTTTGATCATAGACTGACCTCCCAGATCCTCTGTTCTTATCATTTTATTCCATTCTTGACTTCCTTTTGTTGAATTCAGGGTGATGCTGCCATGTACGTCATTCTCTGGTTGTTGTCTGTTCTTGTGGGTTCTCAGCCCACAGAACTTCCATTAGGATGCTTTGCAGTGCAGAGTTGGCTTTGGCAAAATCCCTTAGTTTCTGTTTATCCTTGAATATTTTAATTATACTATCATATTTGATTGACTGCTTTGCTGTGTAGAAGATTCTTGCTTGGAAGTTTTTTGTTGTTTTTTTTCAGGTTTTATATATGTATGTCTCCCCATTGCTTTCTTGCCTGCATAGTTTCTGTTGAGAGATCGAAGCTTAATCTGATTTGCTTGCCTTTGTATGTTACACTTCTTTTTTCCCTAGCTGCTTTCAGGATTCTATTGATATCTTTGATTTTGGAGAGTTGATTATTAGATGTCTTGGTGATTTTCCTTTAGGGTCTATCTTTCCAGGTGTTCATTGAGCTTCTTGAATGCCTATCTTTTCATTTTTCAGTATGTTAGGGAAATGTTCTTCCAGAAGCTCTTTAACGATCTCCTCTGTGGACTTGTGTGATTCTTCCTGTTTCAGAATGCTGATGATGGTGAAGTTATTCCTCTTCGTGTTGTCCAACATGAATCTTAGGCCTTCTTCAGATTTTTTTTTATCATTTTTTGAGCTTGCTTTTAATTTTTAGTAGTGTTGAGAGATTTATCTTCTAGCTCACTGGTTCTGGCTTCTATCTCTTCAATCTACTCCTTTGCCCTTTCAGTGTATTGTCCATTTCTGACATTCTATTATGAATTGTTTGGACCACTTTTTGTAGGTTTTGAATTGTTTCCAATGCTGTATCTATATTATTTCTTTGTTCCTGTAGCGCTTTCCTGACTTCTTTCTTATTTTTCTCAACTCCATTGTATAGTGTTTTGATATATTTTATAATCATTTTTCTGAATTCCTTCTCAGGCTATTCTAAAGCCTGCCCATCTTCAAGTATGGAGTGTAGGTGTACTTCCAGCTCATTTGCATTAGTCACTTTATCTCGTTTCTGGACATATGCTGATATGGTCATCTGTTTCTGTTTTTTAAACTTATTTAAGAGTTATTTTTGGCCTTAATACTTAGATGGGTGTTTATTTTGGTTAAGTGGTACCTGTCACTTTAAATCACTAGGAGATACATGCGCATGCGTAGTAGAATCCTCCAGGGGTGAGGGTGGGGTGTCTGCTCGCTCAGGCACCCCCTCTAGTCACCAGAATGGAGGTTCGCAGACAGTGGGAAACAAATGAACAGATACCAAAAAAAGAGTGTCCATACCGTTATCTCCGCGTTTCTGTCTGGCGGTCATGGCTGCTCTGATCCTTCCCCCTCTCAGTCTCACGTAAGATGATGGCTCCGGATACAGCTGAGCTTCTTGGATTAGAAAGCACTGGATTTCTTGCTTCAGGTACAAATTCTTCTTGCTGTAAGCCTTCCAACCTGTTAAATACTCCTTTATATGTGGTTCAGA